ATCAAATTTTAATTTCCCTATTTGCCATGAGATTCTGGTAGCCTATAGTGATGTCATAGCGACGCCATGATAAAAGTGGCGTTTTCGCGTGAAATTTTGAAATTAAATTTATTTTTAGATTTAAGCTGATTATATTAATAATATTTTTTTAAGTAGTTTTAGCGACATTTTATTGGTATCGATAATTTTTTTTCATAGAAAGTTGTCAACACCCATATTGAACCCCATATCCCTGGTCTAGAGGCTCGCACGCCGGATTCAAAGTGTCACTCGGGACCATCTCCGAGGTCCCGAGTTCGATTCATAATCAGGCTAATGTAAGAAAATGGACTTTCCTAAACTGTTCTGGGTCTTGGTGTTATGGTGCCTTCGATGTTCCAGATTTCCATAACTCAAGTTGTTGTCTAATATTACAAAACTATGGAACCTTACATAGAACTTTATATTATTGACATGATGACTAGAAAGTAAATTTTATATTAAAATTTTTACTCTCAGATGGATGCGTAATTCAGTTCAAAATTCGTTATAGAAAACAGCGCAATATTTTTATTTTATCTTATTTCGTTTGAAATTTGTGGTTTTATTTAAATATCACAAGGAAATAAATAAAATATCCTGGATTTTAATTTCATTTATGTATAAGTACGAGTATCTTATTACCACTTTTTTCTTTTTAAAATATATGTCCAAGTAAGTTGTCTGTTCTTTTTTATTTTCAATTTACAAACAGAGATTTTCATGATATTTTTAACATCAATAGCATATAATATGTACATAATTCACAACTATTGTACATAATTCTATAAAGTTAAAATTCCAAATATGTTAAATTACTTTGAACATGAAAAGGTACTCAAAATTTTATTATTATTATTGTTGTTTTTATTATTACATAGAAAAATGTAAATAAAAAATATTTCTATGATAAAACTTACGTTTGTCCCAGGGCTATGTGGTATCTGTGATATAAAAAGCGTAACCGACAAACAAATTTACTTTCCCACACATAAATATTGGTTAGGATAAAATACATACGACTTTATGGGTCCGACACTAATGCTTTTAAAGTGTACTTACACGTGAATTATTTATCCAATATTACTCACCATAATTTAATTAAACAGACCCATAAGATGCCGCCGATAAAATTTTATTTGCAATTCGTTTACATAATCTAAAGTAAATTGTTGAATTTATGTAGGTTCGTTCGCACGTGTAAATTATTACCTCAGTCATCCATAAATGACGCAGCTTCTCGTAGCGGAAAAAATTTTTAAGTTTCAGAGAAATATTAGATAATCCCAGAAGATCTTTCAATATGTATGGCGTATGTAATCATGTTTTGTAAATTCAAAATAATTAATCAAAGTAAACGATATCATCGAAATAGTGGATAAATAAGCATATTTGGGTCAGGAGATAGTTATCCGAAAAAAGAACCAAGAAAATGAAATAGGCAGAAGAGTACGATTGGCCTGAGCAGCCTATTCCAATCTAGACTTTGCCTTTAAAATGAATCTGAATATTGAACAGAAAGCACGCATTTGACTAATGTATCCTGCCAGTTCTCACTTGTGGTGCTGAGTGACTGGTGACCTGGATCTTCACCAAGGCTATTTTATAGGAATTAAGTGTAACTCAGCTCTCACTGGAAAGAAAACTGGTTGGGGTCACGTTGAGGGACCATAAAACAAATGAATGGTTGAGACAGCATACCATGATCACAGATGTCGTCAATCGCGTAGCCAAATAGAAATATAAATGGCCTGGTCATATTGCCCGCAATACCACTTCACGGAGCAAGCGGCTGCTTGAGTGGGGTCATGGGGTCAAAAGTGTTCTTGGGGGTGGCCTCGAATGCGTTGATATGACGACATCAAAAGGACCGGTGGGAAAAAATGGATGCAAGTTGCATAAGATCGATACAAAAGGCGTAAATTGAAGGAACCCTATACCCGAAGGTTCGTGACAGACCGAAGAGAGAGAGAAGAGAGTGAATACCGAGCGTCGAGTTAAGTTACTACTTAAAGTGCCTTACGAAGCACGAAGTAGCTCGAGATAATAATTTCGGTCACCTATACCGTGACCGACCCTTGCGAAAATTGCTTCACAAAAACAATCCCTTGCCGCAACACTTATCCGATCCACCACCGAGCTACTACTCCTCTAGTATGGTTGCTATACTTTTCTTTATTTCAGATTTCCATAATACTAGGTTTTAGTTGCGTTGTCATGTCAACCAATATAAATGCTATATTTTGTGTAACATCTGATATAATATGAGCATTATAATCAGAAATGTGTTTTATATCTTTACTCCGATGTTACTAGATTAAAAAAAAGAGAAAAACTACGAGAATATAATTTATAATAACCAACACAATATGGAATAAAACAAAACATATGTGTTTTATTTCAGTGGGAATAGAATTTGTTGTAATTAATTTCACAAACATTGACTTTAATAAATGTCACGTAAAAAAACGACGTTGTTCTAAAAACGTGATCGAAAGTGCGACTGCTTTATATACTTCACCACATCACACATCACCAGCCCTTTTACGTCCCCACTGCAAGGGCTCAGGCCTTCCTTATGGATGGTTAAGGAGGATGGTTAATTATATACTTACACATCAAATAATAATTCAATGTAAAACACCGATCTTTTGGTTTCTTACTAATCTCAGATAAAAATGTTATCGCATACTTTGTTATCATAAACATTTGTATTGTTTTGTGTCATGAGATTTTCCATTTATTAATCTATACAGATACCTATTTAAGGCAAGATAGAATAGGTTCCTTATAGGTAAGCTCGTCCCACCGTAGGTAGGCTAGATTGAGGTCAAGAGTGGGCCATTATTGAATATAAAAAAATCTCACGATTTTTTTTATTACAACTACTTTCCCTAAGTATTAAAAATATAGACGACCACTGTAATTATAATCTACGCATATACAACGAACACAAGGTATGTCTTTTCCTAACACTATTATAAGAATTCTTTCGTATGTTTTAATCTATAAAAGCATGCATATAACATAATCGCTTATTGTTACATAATTTCGAGAGTGAGATGTAAAGTTTTCATTTCGACAGCTAAAACTTTCCAAGAGAATCTGAAGAAAAAAATTCCAAAGAAAAATTTAAACTTTCCTTAAAACATAAAAAGTTTTTTTTTTTCAAGAAAGATTTTTGATCATACTTCTGTACTTCTTCTATTATACTTCAAATATTTTCTGTTAAAATCATTGAAATATAAACCTACTACTACCATTTACTACTACTTTTACTACTATTTATGTCTATATTATATATTTAATTTGTTACTGATATTGTTTTGTGACTTTATTAACAGTGGTTTGTCTTTTTTATTCAAACTGAAAATTGTATAATTATGAATATGCTTAAATTGAACAAAGTGTTATTTTAAAAACGGTAATAAAATTGCTTAATGAACGGTAAGGAACTGATAAATCCACCGTATTGGATTTAGAACATTGTATTCTGCTTACCATGCCTTTTCATTTCATATCCATGTAATTTGGGTTACTTGGGAATGATATATCACCATTTCATGGCGTCCGCCATACTGGATTTAATTTGACGGTATTAAATTGAACTTGCATTGCCAGAAGAGCCAAACTTATGTGTAATTCCAACTCGAAATCGTAGTTATCTGCTTAAAAAATTTGCTTTACGTATAAGTGTAGGTCAAATCTTGTAAGCTAATTCACAATTAAAATGTTCCCTAATGTTCAATTTAACTGAAAGTTCTTATATAACTTGTATCACAATTGTTTGCTGCAGCTGGGTCTTTAAAACGATTACGGAACTTTCTACCAATTGCCACTAAAACTGCGCTGGCACAATCTCTTCTCCTTCCTATTCTAGATTATGCCGATGTCAGCTATCTTGACCTCACTGAAGAGCAATTAAATAAACTTGAGCGGCTTCAAAATTTCTGTATCAGATTCATTTTTGGATTACGCAAATATGATCATGTTTCCGATTTTCGTACCAAGCTCAAGTGGCTACCAATTCGTCTTCGCCGGAATGCACATATTGTTTCTCTCGTCTACAGTATTCTATTCAATCCTTTTTCACCAGCTTACCTCAAGGAACGCTTCACGTTCCTTCACGATACGCACGCACGAGGTTTAAGGTCGTCGGAGAATCTGAGATTGGCAATACCAATACATTCAAGTAAATTCCTGAACAAGTCTTTCACAGTACAAGCTGCTCGCCTCTGGAATGCATTGCCGGAGGATATTAGGCGTGCACAAACTATTAACAATTTTAAAATATTAGTTAGGGAGCACTATTTATCGCTGAATTCATTGCAGCAATCATAGGATTATGATTTAAGTAAGTGTATATGTATATATGTATGTATTTATATATGTATTTATGTGTCTATGTATATATATGTGACTATGTAAGTTTATGTATTATAAACAATTTTCCTGCTCAACCATTAATGTTTTCTTATGTTATGGTATACCTGTAGACTTCTTAATGCACCATAGTCTACCCAATTTTTCCAACTGTATCCTGTATGCTATGTTAAGGTTGCCTGGAAGAAATTGCTTTTTAGCAATAAGGCCGCCAATTGTACTATTCTGTTAAATTTATTAATTATTTATTAATTCACTTGTGGTGTGTACAATAAAGAGTATTTCATTCATTCATTCATTCACAATTGGAATGGAGACGATCCAGCTCTATTATCAGAGCTAGAATGAAGCTATGAGATCTCTGTAAATAAACGAAGCAATCCCAGGGAGTATGAGTTCGTTTTATTTGCCTTGACCAGGTCTTTGGTCCCAGATTATAGGCTCTGATAAACGAAGTAGAAGGTGGTAATAATAATTTTTCAATTAAAAACAACCTCTTCATGTACGGGCTCGATTGATTTGCCTATAGAAGATCTGTAGTCCGAAATTATAACCAATAAATATTGATTTAAACAATTTCGAAAACATCTAGTTCTTACCTCGAATTTACTCGTCACTGGGTTCATGTCAAGAAGCGAATACGAAGCTACGCGGTCACCATTGTCGTCAATCACAACCTCACCCGTGATACCTGTACAGAAAATGTTTTTTTTAGTATAGTTCTCCACCTCTCTGTCTTAATGCCCATTAGGTTTTTAACTTCACCTTAACCACGTAACTGAAATCTATGCTATTTTCGTCGTTAACTATCTAAGGGAAACGTATTTACTACCATTTTGGGATTTTCAGTCGCAATCTTTACTATGAATAAGGGTAAACTAGGTAATGAGGAAAAACAACGCGCAGACCAATATCACAATTGTCATACATATAACACTGTACGAACTGTTTCAACAACAGTATAGCCCACTCTTTTGTAAGCCCTAAAGGCGCCTTCAAATTAAATTCTTAATGTCAGTCCTGATGGCATGGCAGAATGCAGTTTGAAAGATTGAAGAATGCTACGGTAAGTGGCATACCGTGATTCTATAAGTCATTACACCTCGCCGCCGGTTACAGATTTATTGATATCATTATCGGAATTGAAAGTCTTTGAAAGGAATTTTATGTAATGAGATATACGGATAAGTGCACCGACCCGCGTTGTTTCTTGTCAAGCAACTTTCGCAAAGGTCGGTCACGGGATGGGAACCAAAAAAAATATTATATAGTCTAATATAATATATATAATTAAGGTCTCCACATCCTCGTATATAAAGGAATATGATTGTTAAAATACTTGTAACAAATGTTTGAAAATCAAATCATATTATATTCAATTAAAAATAATCTGATAGGCAATTCAATTCTGTTATGTCGTATCACGATTAGTTATTGCGATGTTATGTGTTTTATTGATACGGAAATGAAGTGATTTACTAGTTGAATATTATATAGTAATGTCACTGCGTTACCACAGTCGTACTTCTGCAGTACATCCAATCTACAGGCGCCCTAACTATTCTCCCATCCCATGAAGCTTTCCCAAATCTGACCTTTTTTATTTGTTTCTTTATCGTATGAAAAATGGGTCCCTTAAATAAACTCTGCCGCTAGGGGCTAGGGGGTGCTTTGAAATTGTATTGGACTTTTCTTCATTCGTCTACCTGATCAAAATATGACTATGCCTGTAGTGTTGTATGAAAAGAATATATATTACATTTCATTTTGTTTTTTTCAATACGAACTAAACTACTATGAATAATACAAAGTCAGGATTTATATCAATAGAATATTACTATTGCTATTTATATTTGACCTCCGTAGCCGAGTGGTTCGCACGCCGGTTTCAAGGTGTCGCCATCTCTGAGGTCCCGGGTTCGATTCCCGGTCGGGTCAATGTAGAAAATGAACTTTTCTATATTGACTCGGGTCTGGGTGTTGTGGTCCCTTCGTTGTCTCAGATACTTCATAATACAGGGGCTTTAGCTACTCATCTTGGAATCTGAGCAATGTACCTATGTGATGTTGTTAAATATTTATTATATTTTATATATCTCTAAATTATAGTCTTTATTATCATTATAAGAACATAGTTTTTTATTATTTAAGTTAAATGAAAAGCTTCTTTGTTACACATGATTATTTTATAATATAATTTTTAATTGGGAATGACATGGTTTTTGTTGATGTGCTTACTTCCTATCGACCAAATTTAGTACTTATCGATTAAAAGACATCCTGAATAAACCTACATACATTAAAAAAAATTGGGCGATTGGAAGACATTTTGACTTTGACCAAAGAGCTGCAATCGATTTGTCAAATATTTAAAAGTATAATATACCACGGGACAGATGTATATGGACACTTAAAATCCAAGTTGTTTCAAAATTTTTATTATTAGTGAAATTATCTTGTGAATTTTTTTGTTTGGTATTAGATTTTGAAAAATTACAAATTGTGATTTTCCCTTAAAAGGCAGCATCATATGAAATTATTCATCGACGCTCTCCGCCGACTCTATATATTATTCACACATGCTACTTATTATGTAAAACGACAGAAAATAACATTATGAATTCGAATAAGGCAATTTCCTTCAGAAATGAATATGAATGTCAGTTTAGCACTTTAAAATGTAATAAAACGTGGATATTATTAGATTAAGGATTTATTATTATCGAAATATTCATTACTTTAATTTTTTAATTATATATTTGCTCAATTTTTGTCACAGTTTTCTTTTATAAGAAAGGAGGAGAAAAAATTATATCGAACTTTATAAAATTATGCAGGGAAAGAAAAATAACACATCATTTTTTTTAACTCTGAAACTCTAGTCCTTTAAATAGCTCTTTTAAATTTTAAGTGTCTATATACATCTGTCCTCGTGCGAATAATACATACGGCGAACGCACTGCAGTGTACCTGGTACCTCGGTTTATTAACGAATTACCCACAGAATTAAGAAAAAATATTACATTAGCAAATATTAAAACAAAACTTAAAACATACTTTTTAAACAACCTAGCATGAAATCGAATTGAGAAATGGAGGCACACCGTGTCTGTGTTAAGTGTAAATTGTTGTAAACCTAATTAATTAGTACAGATATATAAACAGCATTGGCACAAACCTTCGTGGTTTATAAATGCTGTAAAAAAACTTAAAAAGTGTAACTATGTTTAATTATGTAATGTAAATAAAAAAAAAAAAAAATATTAATTTTGTAAATCTCTCCAAGTATAATGAAAAAGGCAAAGGAAGATTTTCTTCATTGCTATAAAATTTCATTACGTTAGCTTTCCTGTAAGTTCTATCGTTTTAAAGTAATACAGGAAACTAGTAATTTTTAATGTAACATAATCCTTCGTAGAAACTCATATTGAGAAGCAAACTCATTTTTATGGAACACAACAGTATTAAAAACTATGTTCAACTTCTTTACCGAAGTAATTTGTGCTTGCGTTGTGTTGTAATTATATTATTTGTTCCGTAGAAAATTTTTCGTGTCGTTAAACTTTAGCTGTTGGATTACTAAAAAAAGAACAATAAAAATTATGATGAGCCTCTTCGATAAATAAGAAAGGAGATAAATTGACGACCTTCATGACAGAAGCTCGGTTGCACAAACATCCATTAAGGTTTAATGACAATATTAACCTCTAAAGAATATTCTAAATTAAAATTTTTGTATCAGCAATGTCGCAAAGACGTTTGTTCAACTAGCCAAGAGTGACATAAACGCCGGTTTTAGTAGTCCCCATATACGAAGGCGATTCGAATCCCTGGCTGTCAATACAGAAGAATACGAGTATTTAAGGCTTTAACTTAATATTTGAGCATTTTAAATGAATTTATGTATTTAGTATCATCATTCACTGCAACATTTTGGTGAGATAAAAAACGTTTATGTACCTAAAATCAATGTGAGCTACGCACTACCCGTGTTCCAAATTGTTGACTTCTTGAGACTGTAATATTAAAAGAGATAAAAACTAATAAACTAAATTTTAAAATTGTACAAAATACTATATATGTTAATGACAAAACAAAATGACTTTATTTTGAAAATTTTCTTTATTTAGATGTAAAATAATATATTTAAACAATACTAGCCGTCAAACTCATTCTTTTCTTTATGCATAAAGGAGTGGCTTCTAAAGGGTTACTTGGTGGAAAAGGTCAAAAGCCTCTTATGCTGCAAACGCCTATGAAAGCCTACATTTTACTAAGTGTTAAGTTCACAGCTAAATAGTTCATATTACATGAAAATAAATAGATTATAAATGTTACGTATTACTCTAGAAATTTATCCTACGATCATCACTTTTGAAAATGTTTTTATATTTTAAGATTAATTAAAATAATTTAATATAAATTCATATTAGGACCTCCGTAAAACAATATTGTTTTAATCCTACGATTGAACGAATTTTTTTACGAAATTGTCTTTATCCTGCTTATTGTTGCTATTTACTGAAACATATTTGACATCACTGCACCAAAAGTAATCAATCATTTGAGCTAATGATTAATCGATGTTCTTAGAAAACTTTAAACAGGAACAATATCAAAATAAGCTTATTGCTTCTATTAAAAGCTGAAATATCTAATATTATATAATAAAATATTGAAATATCCGAGATAAAGAAGGTCCCACAGTACCCAGATCCGGGACAATATAGAAAAGTTCCCTTTGTTCATTAAGCGGACCGGGAACCAAACCTGTAACCTTAAATGGCATAACGTTTAAACCGGCGCGCGACCCACTCGCCTACGGAGGTCATCAATGTTTGTCAATGTATAGAATGAATAGATGTGATAATCTTTTATATTGTTCACTTTAGCAGAAATAAAATATATGTTAGGACTTATAACATATATATATATGTTATAAGTCCTAACATATATTTTATTTCTGTAGCTAAATATATATATATATATATATTACAAATGCACAGCTATTTAAAAAATAGTAATGTACAATTGAGTAAAAATCGTTTTTATGTAATCGTCTAGTATTGAGAACCTAGTAATTCACACAATTCAAAATAAACAACTAAGAAATTTTAGGTATAAGCAGATGTTCTCGAAGAATAATTCAGGGAGAAAAAAGCAGCCCTTGCCGAGTTTCTTGTCCATTCTCTTCAGTACAAGGTCTCCCCTCTCTCCATACAAGGTCTAGTTTTCGACATTCACAAGTGTACAGGCATTTACACAGTACACAGGCACAGCTTAGACTCAATAAATGATATAGAATTTAAATCTATACCTAATGATTACTAAAATGAATATTATTGTAAACAGTTGAGTAGGAGACAGTTAGTTGTGCCCTTTTAAAACATAACAAGTTTCTTCAATTTTAAAACCTATCTTTCCACGATATGTTAGCTTTGTATCTATTGGTTCTACCAATAGATTTTTATCCAAGATAAATATTTTTCATCTTAGACACATTACACTTTCTACGTTTTCCATGTAAACTTTACGGCCTTTACTAGATTTTGTAACGGAGCAGCGACACAGAAGAAAATAAATACTATTTAAACTGTGACCTTCCTTTGATATATTGAAGTACGCGATACTGTTTAGGACGACGGAGAAATTGTAAACTCTCCGTCTTAGTCAGCGAAACGTTGAATACTAAGCGCTGGTAAGTGACAAAATACAGAACTGGAATGGTAATCTTTGATGAAAGTCTACTTTTATTATCAGATTAAAGGGGATAATACCACAATGGGAAAAAGCAGAGCTTTTTTAATTATTCACGCTTCTGTGAATAATTTACATAGACTAGTGGATCGATTGTGTCAAAATTTGAGACACATTGTAAATTATATTTATATTATTAATATTATAATTTTAATTAATTAATATCCTATTTATACCTTTATAATCCTAGATTATTTTTAATTACACAAGCAAAATTATATTTTCCATATTCCTTTAAGCTGGTGATACTATTAACTTTAATGGGCCGATGATGACGACGCTGGAAGGTGTTAAGTAGCCTAGTAGGTAAAAATGATACATTAAAGGTGGTCTATAAAAAGTTTCATAAAGCATCTCACGGAAACATGAATACACGTCGTAATTTTTTATGAAAGTTTTTTGTTACGAAACCAGGCATATATAAATTACCTTGAAATGTCCTGTTCCACATGTTCCTGATGAGAGCAACACCGTCTAAAGAGCCAGAAGTGTTATTCGTCTGCTCAAGTGTTGCATTAAGTGCTAACGCATACAACAACACGGCGTCATAGAAGGCTGCCACGAAGGTCGATACCACTTCACCCTTTTCGAATGTATAATTGTATTTTCTCGCTGCTAATTCTTTAACCTGTAGAGATTAACCGAAATTACAAAGTGTTGCCTTCTATATTTTATTGTAACTTGCGCGATCTAAAGTTCAACGTTATCAAGTAATAAATATATTTAATGGACATGGTAATATTACTAATTTCTTCCAGCGTTGTGGCTACGAAATGCAGAATTATGAGCTTAGTCAAGTTTATGCTATTAAAAAATTATAAATTGTACCTTGGAGATTATCCAAATTAGTGTGAAAATCCATCAATTCATCTTCTAGATCACTTTCCAATGGCAATGATTAAGATATCAAAAGCTTTATTTATCAACTACCAGCTTTATGAAAATAAAATTACAATTGCCGATCAAAATATTCTACATAATTTAAATGCCCCAATAATATTTGGAACAAACACCACCCCATACTGAATTACATGCCCAAGATTTTTGAAGGTACGGTAAATTTAAAACGCTACATTTCACAAAGCTCTCAAATGATAATTTCCTCAGCGTAATTCATAAACAGCGGACCATGAAGACGGAAGACGGTCTCCGGATATTGCATATACATTCTAAAACACTTGAAATTTTCGCTATTCAAAATATTTATTACTTTGTTTTGTGGAAGCTGATCCATTATAGATTATATATTATCTTAGTATTGTTTTCCAAACGTATTTGATATCCTTTTTTTAGTCAAAATGTTTAAAAAAATATAATTTAAAAAATATAATATAATTAGATAGATAAAATATAAAAAAAATTATAATGAAATTCAATAATTTTATTGATTCAAACTCAATAAATCAGCTTAGACTGGTATAGTTATACTAGTTAATAATTTTAGTGAAATTTTATTACCTGATCCGAAAACTCCAAATATTCTTTCTTTTCAGGTGCCGGACTAGTGACTGTGAGCACAGCACTGTACGCTCGCCTCGCTCGCTCATTCCGCTCGTCTGTGTCATTTGCTACTTTCCAAGGTTCTTTGGAGGATGCTGATGCTAAGCTGTAAAAAAGATTATTTATCATTTAGAGTTCCATCCTCAAAAGAAAAAAAAAGCTGGTTAGCATTCGGTCTACGAAACAGAGGTTAAACAACTTTTGCAAGAGTCGGTCATTAGATTTGTGACTAAAACTTCACAATCTCAAGCTTCGCACTGGCTCACTGGGTAGTTCATGGCCCATTCTCTTTATTTGATCTGATTCGAGTTTATCCATAGGGAACGTCTGAGCCCTAGTAGTGGTGTCATTAATCGACTGGTGATAATGACGCTGATGAAAGATACTACTCCGAAAATTGTGATTATTAGTTACAAAAGAATACTTAAGTTTATGTTTGGAAAAGTACCTCGTACTTAGACCTGTTTTTACTAAGTCTTAAATTTTACTTTATAGTGAATAGTTATATTTGCAAATAAATTACTCGTATCTATTTACTCGTACGTATTTCTAACAATCTTTTTACGTTTTCTAGAGGGAAGATACTTATTTTTTTATATTTATCCTCATTTTTTTAGAATAAATAGACCGAAAAGTATACCTCTACTTACATACATATGCTACCTACGAGTAAGTAGCTGTGATACATTAAAATCTTACAATATTTACGAGAATACATGATCTATTTTTCACTTATAATTGATATCTTTGAAATAAACAATGTTTCTAATGTCATAGCTGATTCTAATCTGATTAGTTACAAACCTTCGGGTTGTTTCAGCGGGAAGACGTTTGGATACAATCTTGATATAACGGAAATATGTGGTTACACTGTCTACGATAACATGGATATTATATTCGAACGGACTTCACAACATCGAGAAGTTTAACATTTAGTACAGCAAAATGTATTCGAAACTTTGGATATCCAAATTACGTGTACGTATATTAATTTAGGGAGTAAAGACAACTTTTACAGCCTTATGACTATAGATGCTATCATGGGAAAACTAATTTTCCTGTACGACAAAAAGTTTAAAATACGAGTATAAGGACATTGACAGGAAATTATAACATACGTATTTTTAAAAGCACCTATATATCGTTATACGTGATAATACATAAAAAGCCCAAAGCGTGTTCCTACTTTAATTATGTACTGTAAATTTAAAAACTGTTTGCCAACTTTATCTTTAGTAGCTTATTTACTACCAATTTGCATTAAAAATAGTAGTACAATTTATATTATTATTCACAAATACCTTCAAATCGCGATTAATGTATATTAGTCACCCAATTATATCGGCAAGTTAGAGTTTGGAGTTGGGGGTAAGGAGTAAATTGAATCGTTTATTTTTAATAAGATACCACGGCAAATCAAATTAAGAAATTATATCACTTGTATTCTTCCCAAACTTTATTACAGTAACTGTTACTGTAAAGATATAAAGATGCAAGAAACCTAACATCGTTATTTTATTATTGTATCTAAAAGATAAAAATTATATGATTGAACTAACCCCTTACCCTAACTCCAAATTCCGATTTGGCTCCTTATTAACTTCAAATTACAATCGATAATAGCTCTTTATTTACCGATTTTACAAGGCATACTAAAGATATTTTTATTATGATTGAAGGTACGGCTAACATTTCTTCGTATTAAGCTGTTTACAAAGAAGTCTTCAGACATGGAGGCGTCTAGAGGATATAGACCCTAATAAACTTTACCTCATTATAAGTTGTATACACTAATTGTATGAATGGGGCTGTTTGGAGCATATTACGAAAATAGAACGCGATGTCAGATGACTTTCGTCTTAAGCTTTATTTATTTTGGAACTTTCTTCTATTTTATCGAGCTTCCTACGAGTACCATTTATAAGGCATAAATTTTGCAACACTTCATCTACTATCGACATATTTTAATTTACATAATACTATAGTTTTTCATATAAAATATGTATACAATACTTATTACTGGTATATAAAAAGTGTTCAATGCGCACTACTGAAATAATAATAATTGAATTTATGGATTAAAACTGGAATACCGATATGAGAGACGTGAGCTTAGCCATTGCATAGTCTAATCGGAAATGAGCAGGATATATCGGATGGACATAAAAAAATTATTCAAGTGCAAACCCCGCGGTAATATTAGATTACGTTGTTGTCCACACACGAGGTGGTGGATGGCATTAGAAAACACGCTGACCAAGACTTGATGCAAACAGTACGTTACCTACCATAAAAAATAAAACGAATTTGGAAGAGTATCTATGTTCAAAACTGGACACTAATGATTACAACGAGGATGAAGCTGAAGATGATGACATTAGCGAAAACTGCATGTAAATTCGTCGTATGTTTGAGAGTTAATCGCCTTAAAGCAGATAGATGAGGCAACCAACGTAGCCACTCAGCTACAGAAGTCAGATCAAACAGAAACCGCACAAATTTTCCATAATGTTTCCAAATCGTTTCTTTCCGTGACAATTGAAGCAAATTATCTGTGTTTAACGAGAAAAGCATCAAGTTTAATGGGCCGTAAGTTTCGCGAACGGAACTTGAATATTTAATGCCTTGTGCTCTTTAACATTTGACTTGGTTTTGGTGTCTGTCTCTGGACGTTATGAATTTACATTATCTACTTTACTAGTCAATTATTTTAAGTTTTTTGTAATTAAATTACGAAACTGTCTTCATCCTCATCATAGCAGAAGCTCGATGGTGCCATGATTAGGTCGTTTAGCATGCGAGATGGAAGTTTAGTAACTTTCGCAAGGGTGATAAAAAATTTATCAAGCTCATCCGTAATCCGGGTGGCACGTTATCTGCAGTCGTTAATACCAATTAATCTCCCACGTGATGCTTCATAGCATTTTCTCAATTCAATATAACATTTTGGGATTCGAATGAGAACCATTCGCTTTTGTCCTGTTATCGATAGGGCACGGGTTTCGCCCACAAACACATATAGGAGATAAATCCAAGTTAGTTTCTGAAAAACTAGTACTGAAAATCGTCGAATATGCATATTTAATAAGAGACCCTGTGTACAAGTACTACAAGTTTTACAGTATAAAAAAATTAGAAATTTCTAATACTTTGTATTACCAACTTGACATCGACTTGCTTACACTTTACGAGAATAACTCTTGTCTATTATATATAAAAGTCTTTTTATTTAAGTAACATTGTATTAAGAGTTAGTTATTATAAATATGAAAATTGCTAAAGAAAATGACACAGTCATAATTTATAATCTATCATATTTTGATTAGGTCGACCTAAAATATTTATTTCACAGCTCGTTACCATTTAGCATTATGTGAAAATCTAAAAATGCAATCTGTTGCTTTGATTAATATTTTTGTGGGTTGTAACATTTCTGAACAGAATAGTTCGAATAATCTTCAAATAGTGTCATGATAAATTACTTTAAAGTCAGCACATAAAGCAAAAGAAATTTTTTAAATAGTAAAATATTGCAAATATCTATCTCGTGTAAAAAGATATTTTAAACGTAATGATAATTTGGGAACAGGAAACTGTGTTATTTTGTTTCTAGCTGAAATAGTTTAGTTATATGAAATCAGCTCGCTATCGACGAAATTTCACTCACTTGAAAAACACAAAACACAATTTCAAAATAAAAATTTTCATTACATTTTGTTCATCTTTTTAATAACTGATATTAAAGGGTCGTCATTCTCTTCTATTTTATGCGAAAATTTCTTTGAAAAGTTATCGCGAAGTGAGAGACAAATACTTCTGTACTGTGACAAAAGCTAACATAAGCGATAATGGACGTAACGTATCTAACACACTACCGCAAAAGCGAACCAGTAGCGATTCGAATCTTAACATTAACGAAACGGCGATCAGTCTCTAGTACGAATATAATTGGTACATGTTACATAGCAACATGTTACAAAGTTACATGTGCCAAAGCTTCAGCAGCAAAAATGTTCACGCTGGCTTACTCTTTACATACAATGAATCAAATATAAATAAATCGAACTCCTTCGTTCTGTTTTCGCTTCGCCTTCGTATCTCGGTGTGCAACATACATATACTCGTATGTGGCAACGCGCCAAGTTCTTGGTTGTGAATTAACGATAAACATGAATAAAACTCACTTTGAAAACAGTTCGATATTGAAGAAAACGTATTCCCCTGAAGACACCATATTGAGTTCGTCGGCTGCTAGCATTATCTCCCTTACAGTGTTTGGATTCGCGCATACCACGACAACTGCAACAAAATAAATATATTTATTAAAAAAGTATTTCAGGCACAATTAAAAAACAAATCGTATGCTTATGGGATTTCACTTAGATTCCTTTTTTCATTCTAAATTATGGGATCATTTTAAAGTATTATATATCCCAAAATAATATAAAGTACCCACACATCATTAAAAATAATATCTGAGAGCTCGTGAGCAAAACCAATACTTACACGAAAACTTAAACTGTTTAACATTAACGAACACCTATAATGTGCATATTTTACTTTACCACCGACTGTTTGCCGAAATATAACCAATATTTTCGTGAACCTAAAACATATGCATTACAGAGCCCACGAAACACACTTTATTTACATACAAAATAATTTTAACTCATTTCTACTAAAATACTCTTAAAAATAAGCAAACTGTAAAGATCTACGGCTAATAATAATATAATTTAATGCCATTAAATTTTAACCTGGTTAGTTGTAAAAGTGAAACAGAGCTGTGTGCGATATCTCTGTGAGATCTTTCAATGACAATGTTTAATTTTTACTTACATAAACTGGCCAGAGAGTGCAAAATTATTTCAATCTTAAATAACTGAAACCTAAATGGAAATATTCACAAAAATATACGGTGTTTTTTATGAGCTGGTTAATGATGTCAGATAGGATTCCGAGCCCCGGTAAATACTGGTAGTGTAGCGAAAGTGGTGATTCGTCCCACGTGATTCAGATAAATAAACTTATGAAAACACATATATGTTTTTAACAGTGAAATCAAATCAAAATCATTTATTCAATCTAAGCTGTTACATAACACTTGTGAAATTGAAAATAGCATAGTGAATCCAAGCGATATACGATACTTCCCACGTACGAGTATAATATTGTAACTATATTTTTCAAACGGCATTTATATATTTTCTTGACTGTATTGTCAAATTAGTAAAATGCAATCGGTCAAATACAGTAAGTAGGAGGTATCGTCTGAACCTTCTATGTATATTATCACAACCGCATTTCACTACCTGCATTTTAAATCTGTTTGTCTGCTATATTATTGAAATGCAGTTAGTAAAATGCGATATTATACGTAGGAGGTATCGTTTTTTTATGTTAATAGTGATATTTATTTAAAATAAGCCTCAATAAATTTCATGGCTTTATGTTTTTGGGTGGACTTGGAAAAATCTGAATATATTCTTATTTGATATTATAATATATCATTGGAATGATATAAATAAGCCGTGTGTCTAATTTATAACTGTTTTATTTTGGCAATGTCAAAATAATTTTAGCAGATTGTGTGCCAACTCAATAAACTAGCACATAAAAATATTATACTAAAATTGAATAATTATTTTACGTTTTTGCATAATTCACTTTATTAGTACTAAATTTTACATTTTTATCGCCTTCTCATTGTTTTTATATCTGTAAAGAGTTGTTGAAACTATAATAAATAGAATCATTGATTAAATATTTTATACAATAGAATAAACAAAAGTGAAAAAGCTCACAAAAGTGGTAAATAATTCATGAAACTTCTATACTGGTTTCTTATTAATACTTCTATACTAATATTATGAAGAGGAAATATCTTTGTTTATTTGTAAGCTCCAAAACTAATTGGACGATTTTAAAAATTCTGTCCTCTATAGGAAGCTACATTATGTGCGGATGACAAAGTCTATAATCTACACGGTCCAATAGGTGTTGTTTGAAGGTATGTTTGAAGAAATGCTTCAAATGGTACAATACAGAGTCCTTTCCTGTTGTCTAAACGATGAGATATTTTAAACTACAGAACGGATTATAATGCTGTTTAATACATTATTAATCACTACATACTATAAAAGAAAGTCGCTTTCTCTGTCCCTATGTATGTTTAAATCTTTAAAACGACGTAACGGATTTTGATGCGGTTATTTTAATGAATAGGGTGATTCAAAAGGAATGTTTTTATGTATAATACAAAACCACGCGGGTGAATTCGCTGGCGGAAAGCTAGTACAGTATAATATAGGAGCATGTGTGCGAAGCCGCTAACGGAAAGCCGGTTAAAATATAAAAAGACAACATCTTACTAAGTGTCTAAGTGAAAACGTCTGAATTATGAAATCAAGTATACACTGACGCATTACATCAGTTTAAAAGTAGTTTTAGAAATTTCAATTGCAGTTTTGGATATCGTATAGGTAATTAATATTAACCTCCTGACTTCAATAAGAATAAGCATAATAGATAATTAAAGTGCATGCGATAAAATCGTTTAAAAATACATTTAATTAATCATATACTGTTTCTAGTTGTAAGCAGTTCAGTAAAAGCTATTCTTGATTTGCAAGAAATAATTGAACTAACATATAAACGTATATAATACACTTAGAAAATTTTACACACACGTTTAGAAGCTCATTCAGACTAACATAATAAATATTGCGCCATTCCAACTTAATAATTACAAACAATACAACCTTATAACTTTTTTTAAGGCGGTTAAAAATACATCTTTATAAAACAATGTAAACATATTCATTGATAAAAGAACCTACAACACAGTAAAACGATCTTATAGCTATTGCTGTGGCGCCTCCCTGATGTATGTTGACTGTGTGCGTACCATGTCGAAAATAATAATTAGATTCCCAACAGATCTCCACTTTGTCACAATTTTTTATACTGAAAAATATGATAATTACATAAGAACAAAAAGCCAAAAATACTTCAGCTGATTTTCAAATATCGATTCTATTAATTTTAAATTAATAATATCTAGCATCTCAATGGCGCTTTGTCACTTTTTTATATTCCTAGCTGTATATTTCAAAAGATAATAGTTTTTGACGCAGAATTCGCCATTTTCTAATCCTATGCATCTCATTGCGCTATGAGATAGTCAGGAACAGTATTAGCACACTATATGATGGTATCTAACAAGGAACACTCAATTGTACTAGGGTGCCGGGTGCCTGAAATGAAATGCATGGGCTTTCTTGATCCATGTGTTATAATAGATAACCATTAAGATGCCCTAGTCGTCTGCGAGGCTGACTTTCCTAAGCACTTATTACTCTGGGTATTGGTGAGCTTATTTTCATCACTGTTCAGGCAATCCAGCTAAACATTAACTTTCCTGTTAAGGAAGATCTAACTATTGTTTACTTACACATAGCTCTCTTCGGGTCATTCCAATCTGACTTTTAATAATTCAAGTAAAAAAGACTAAACACTGTATAACTATCTAACTCTTATACATTGGTTATTAGTAAGAACTTAAAGTATTCTTATTTTTATTTAAAGTGTGTTCTAATTATATTTTATGATGCCATTTGTGAAATTGTGCTCAAACCTTTTTGGTATATGGTAATCGCTGATCGAATTTTTATTCGATCCTCTGAGTATCTTTAAAATAAATTTCTTTTTACAGCGTCTTGAACACAACGTATTCAATAAAGGCTGACGAAAACAAAAACCGCCGCCGTAGTCAAACGAAGGAGGGTTCTTAATTTGATGCCCGTCTCCATTCCATTATTGGATGACATGGCGCACACCAAGCTTTTCACTTTATTGATATACCTGGGTGCGTCTCATCACTTTTTATTCCCATCTCGTCTGACTATTGCGTATGAAAAACAATTTGTTTTGGGGTAGTAACCAAACGCGGGTTGAAAGCGATCCAAATGGAGCTGAATTAATAATATTTGTTTTTGTTGAGTATATTTTAAACAACAGAACATGTAGGGGACAGTTACTAAATATGTAACTGTACTTAAGTCACTTTCTAAATTCATCTTTACACAAATTTTGATACACTTTAATATGAGCCAAGCGAATCCGTAAACTGATTTGCTATTTGTAGACAAATTTATAATTTACATTTCCCTTAGAAGGAATAATTTGGAAAGGAATTTCAATATGTACTTCTATACTAATATTATAAAAAGGAAATATTTGGTTATATGTTTGTTTGCATCAAATAGGGTATAATACAGGCTCCGAAATTACTGGACCGATTTTAAAAATTATTTCACCTACGGGAAGTTTTATTGTATGTGGTGAAAAATGGAAGTGAAAATTTGTAAAGGAATTAAAATGTTGCCAAAGCAACCATTGTTTAATATTTAACTTGTCATTGTAATTATATGCGCGTCATGATATGAATAGTTATTCAAATAAACAGTTCCCTAGGGACCACGCGGGCGAAGTCACAAGCCGAAAGCTAGTAATATTATAATGAGGAAAGATAAAATTGATTGTTACTACTGGACCGACTACTAAATTATTGGACCGATTTTGACAATTCTTTAACCTATGTGAAGCTACGTCATATGCGGTGAATATAGGTTATATTATATTATCCCAAAAAATAGTAAATTGGAGTCCAAGTTTGTATAGGAAATGTAAACGTTTCTTTAGTAACCGTTGCTTACTATTCAATTTGTCATTGTTATTATATTCGAAATGATACGAAACCTTATTCAAATGATTTATAAAATTAAATTCTAAGCCTGGATTAACATATTGGCTACTTTTTACCTCATATTGGCTGAGGGAAACAGTGCCCTAGGGACATGCAGAAAGCTAGAATTACATAATTTGGAATCATATTATGTTTTCAGTTACTATTTTCTGTAAAAATGTACGTGTATATTTTACAGAAAAAAGTATGTGTGTACAGAAAAACTTATCTGTTACATTGATTATCTTAGTTTGAGAGTAATTAATTTATAATAGTTGTTGACGCAGAATTCGCCATTTTCTAACCCTATCTATCTCATTGCGCTATGAGATAGTCAGGAACAGTATTTTGCACACAACTATCATTTAAATTTTATAGATATTTTGCATGTTCGCCATAAAAATAACAGATGTAGCTCGCAATAAAAATCGAGAACCTAATTATTTTTAACGATCTACGTTTAAAGTTCCCTATAAAAATGTCAAATGATGTATAATCTTCTTAATTATAATTTATTTGACATGAAACTGTTAATGTATTTTGAAAACGAACC